GACTATGTGATTTTGAACATTTTTAATGTACACACATTTATCACATTCATTTATCTTAAAACCATTTAACAACATTATTTGGTCAAATTTCGCATGCTATTGTTTGGGTGCTTGTTTTAGTCCGTAAAGAGATTTAACAAGTCTACATACCTTCTTTTCTTTACCTGGAACCACAAACCCTTCAGGTTGTTCCATGTAAATTTTTTCCTCCAACTCTCCATTTAAGAAGGTCGTCTTAACATCCATTTGATGAATTTCAAGACCATACACTGCAACTAATGCTACTAACATCANGGTGGAGCAAGCATTAGCTTGTTTGTGGAGCAAGCACAATCATGGTGGGAAGAGCATTAGGCGGTCCAAAAAATTAATCAATCAATCATTTGACCAAATCCAAATCCGAAGCCGAGCCGAGCGAGCGATGACGACGACGGCGCGAGGCTTGCTTTCTTCTTAACTCTTTAAGAGCTACAAGAAGAGCAATTATATATATACCCACCAAAAATCTCTTCCTCTTCCAATATGGGACAATGTCTCATTGTCAAGAGGGGAAAACTTAAAATTTTACTCAAAAATTTCATTTTCCCTCCATTTCCCATTCACCCTCATTTTAAGAATATTTCATCTTAAAAAACAAAAACCTCAACAACTTTCACCCCCAATAATATACACTATAATACATATATGTATATTGCTTTTAAGGTATTTATGCAAATAGTAAAAGGGAAGCCCGGTGCACTAAGATCATAGCGGAGTCAGGAAAGGGCCGGATCACAAGGGTCTATTATATACCGTCTTTCCCTGCATTTTGATTATATATATTACTGATGTGCGATATTTCGGTGTTATCGTATCAAACTTGCTACGAAGAATTACATGTAACGTTATTGTAGATCAAACGTAAACTGACAGTGCAAAAAATTTATATACTGTCAGTACATAAACTTAAGCTCATATGTATTGTAAGTTCGTAATTATCATTATAGAAGAGTAACAAATACAATAATACTATGTATCCTTTATTTAAAATCCTAACTATAATCTGTTTCTGCACAAAGACATAAAACACAAGATATGTTGATGTATGTGTAATAGAGAAAGGACAAGGTGGGGGCCAAAACCCATTGGGTTTACATTTTGTATGCTGGCCCTCCTTGTGGCAAAGCGGCCCCTTTTCTCATTGTCATTCTATTAAGTTTCTTGTTTTTTTTTGGATTTTATTTCAAGTATAGGTTTTGGAACATTGAATTTGAATTCTGTTCTGATCTAATGTTCGGTTTGTGTTGTGGTGTATTTGGTAAACGATATTTATGATGGCCAGAGACATGACTTTCACTGCCAAAGGATGGTTGCAAGTTTCAACATCCAGACTTTAATGGTATTTGTTTCCATTTCCATCATTCTGTCTCACCTTCTGCTGAATTTTTCTTTTCCTAATAAATAGAGGTTCACTTTTTGCCTCATATCTACTTCTGTGGCTCCTGTCATTCATCCCTCATTCTTTTTTGGTTTTCCTCCTGTGTCTGATACACGCAATGAGACCCGACTAATTTAGATTCACACCGAAAAGTCCCACTTTGAGAGGTAAAGCGCTCCTTACCAAAAGTGGCTCCAAATTGAGGGGTCAACATCCTTCATTTCTCTTTTCGTTTGTGTTTTTTTGTTTGGCAACACCATTAATCGATTTATCTAGATTCGTATCGCATAACGTTCATTTAAGGGGAAGTGCTCCCTAATAGGAATTTCTCCATTCCTAGGGTTTGAATGTGAAACCTCTGACTAAGGGTGGATGTTCCACTTGCCCAACTAATTAAAATTTACACTGCATAGGGTTCAATTAAGAGAAAGTATTTCCTACCAAGAATTTCTTTATTCTCAAAGTTCGAACTTGAACTTGAAACATCCGAACAAAATCTCCTTAATTCATCCCATCACATTGGCGTTTGTTTTGTGTTTTTGAATATATATAAGAGTAACTGTAGTTTCTTATTCTTCTACAAAAAATTGACAGAAAAAACAATCACTTTTAGGCATTTCTTAAAAGTAAAAGATATAGCCAAAAGGGTTATTGGTAATTGTCCATAATAACTAAAATTAGTTATTTAACAAATAAAGTAGACAAATCACTACACTAAGTTAAATTATTTTTATAGTTAAATATCTGTTACACCATTAATATATGAGTTAAACTGAAAACGTAACTACTGCTGTCATTTTTTTTCTTTTCTTTTGGTCTAGGTTTTTGGCAGAAATGCATGTGCAAATCGACTTTGCAATTTGGACTGGTTCCGTACAGTCATAACATCGTTATTCGCGGTTTTATGTGACACAAGAGATACATTCAATCTCTCTGTCCTACCACTCAAGATTTTTCGTGTTAATCTAGAAATTTGCTTGTACTTCCATCTTAAAAACTATTTACTCATTACCAAGCACTAAGAAAACTTATGAGAGTGTGTGTTTAACTTAAGCGGTAATTAAGCATATTCCAATAAACGAAAAAGGATTTCCCAAAGAAGTCAGTTTAAGGTGAAGGTGTACTTTCATTGCTCTAAAATTGAGACTGAACTCGAGCTCAACACCTGTTTGGAG